GGATGTGGAACACTGGTACTGCATTAAAATAGATCAGGTCTGAAATGACTGAATTATCCTTTGTCAGGAGAGGGTTATCAGTATTGTAAAGGAAACTCTAACCACTTCAAATACCACTGATGAAATACCCCTGCCAATGATTTATGCTAAGATGATGTCTCAAATATTGTGGGGAAAGTAGATAAAATGACATCCAGGACACTTCTGGCCCACCGAGGCTGCTCTTAAAATGTGTCTCCAGCTCATACTATCTAGAGCATACCTTACTGGTGATTTACAATGATAGGGCCCTGCGTCTTGCTCAAGGTGCTTTGCAGTTTTTCTTACATCCACGAGGTCAAATTCCCCAGGAACGGCTTTCCAAAAGATGTTCAGTTTTTCATCAACCCATTCGCATTTCACCACATTAAAACACATCGCTGTTCTCTGTAAAAGTGGTACTGTGTTTTGTGGGTGAATTTTACAGTCTCTGAGACTGATTCAGCCTCCATTAACGTTAAAAGCAGTTTTACCTGTAACTTCGATGGAACAATATGTTTGCCGAAGCTCCCAATCAGTTCCTGCTGGATTAACGAAAAGACTCCTATTGATGTAGTGGATGACACCATGCTTGGAACTCGGTAAAATTTCAGATGCTTCTGCCTTCCCTCCCCCCTCCCCCCCCAATCATTACCTGGACAAGCTGACAATTTTAGACATGCTGCAGGAAACAGGAAGAGGAGACTGGGGGAGAAGAAAGATGATAAAATGAGGGTACAATAAAATGAGGTTCTAGTGAATTGGTTTGTTACATATAGTTCTGGGAGGAGTGATTCTTAGACATTTTCAGTGAAACAAGATATGCTTATTTTTTTCTGGTCTTGAAGTTGACTTAGGAAATTAAATGACACTGAAGCTACGGAGTCAATGCAGTACCCTTTACAGAGTAAACTGCTGAAGCAGAAAAGTGGGCTGACGTCTCCTCCCAGTCCTCCTTACCTTTCTGCTGTACTACTATCTTCATTAACATTTTGAGTGCCACCATGTGGTGGAATTATGAGATGGTTTCCTTTTTAACATGGAATGATTTAAATCAGCACGTCACCATTTGACAACTTGAAGCATTCCCCCCCCCCCCCCGATGAACTCATGTTATTGGCTAATCATGCAGTAGTCTTATTTTTTCTTTCTCTTCTCCACAATATGCACTGCAGGTGGTGCATATTTTCCTTTGTCTCTTGCTGTGTGATGTCTCCTATCATCACAGAAAAGTCTCACATTCTCAGTTGAAGAGCTTAGGATGGTTCTGGATTGATTTACGTGGTGTGCATTTCTGTTTTCTCATATGACCAGGGTGACATGAAGATAGATGTTACATTCTTTCTATGTATGTCAGCTTGGCTTACTACAACTGTGTGATGTTCTGGAGACATTATTATAGGAAGACTGCAAATTCAAAATCTATCAGTATGAGTTAAAAAGAAAGAGGATGCTCATCCGCAGGACATCAGCTGCCTGGAGACACCAGTTAAGGGGAGCGTTAGAAATGTAACTCATGCTGCGGTTAAGAAATTGAGATAAGCCACACTTGTAACCCAATCATCAGAGCTTCTTAGGTAATTATTTTACTGCTAATTTAATGACAGTGAAGTTGACATCGTCCTTTCATTATGTTCATAATGAAATCTCCTGACAAATTAAAACAATATTGTAATATGAGCCTGTTTCCAATACTTACTATGATAGATGCAATGTTAATCACAGAATCACAGAATCGTTTAGGTTGGATGGGACCTCTGGAGATCATCTAGTCCAACCTCCCTGCTCAAGCAGGGTCACCTAGAGCATATTGCCCAGGATCACATCCAGACGGGTTTTGAAGATCTCCAGGCAAGGAGACTCCACTACCTCGCTGGGCAACCTGTTCCAATGCTCTGTCACCCTCACAGTGAAGAAGTTTTTCCTCAGGTTCAGATGGAACTTCCTGTGTTTCAGTTTGTGCCCATTGCCTCTTGTCCTGTTGCTGGGCACCACGGAGATGGACAAATTAATCTATTTAATGGCTCTTCTTTATTAGTGAAATCAAACGATGGCTCACTAGCTGTGTGCAAAAACATTTTGATTCATCTATGTAGCATGCTACCTAAAGAAAAAGCATGATGTAGAATCTACAGAGACATAGCAGTACTGGAATGTCACCACCTCAAAACAGCAACCGTTACTATTTCTGTATTTTTGTTCTTTCAGTTCTATACCATTGTTTTTTTTTTCCCATGATCATAAGTAACAATACATGATTTTCCCCCTCTACAATTTATGCAAAAGCACTTAGAATTAAGTATGTCATAGTCCAAAACTATTATACCTTCACTCCATCTTTTTATTTTGATGATTCCATTAAAAGGATTCATTACGGATTCATGTTGGCAAGTTTTGCATTTTAGCTCTTGCACAGTCTGGCTTGAATCAGTGCACATTGATCTGCCTGAAATTTGCTTCTGATGAATTTAGTGAAGCTGTGGGATTGTTTGAGGAGCCCTACTTGGGTAGTATGCATCAACCACAGGTAAATAATTTATTTTCATAATGTAATTCAGGCAGTCGGGTGGCTTATACAAAGATATAAAAACAGTACTCACTTGGATGGATATCCTTTGGTCTAAACAGCTGCAGAGTACCTGAGCCCTCAGCAAAACCATACAAAAAAGCACCTAAGTATCACTGCTCCCCTTTTCAGAGGTATTGGGAGATGTTATAAATCCCTTCAAGGTCATAGCAAACCCTGAAAGAACTAGGAATGGAGAGGTTCCTCTTCTTCTTCCTTAAACAAAAGAACATCCCTTCTCCAACTGTTTAGCATAAAAGAAAGGTGGAATTCTGTTTCAGCTGGTTTCTCCAGAAAGTTGTCACTTATCCATGCTCATGTGTAACCTTATAAATTCTGCTAATACACAGATGAGGGCAAAGCCTGAGGGGGAGACCAGACTTTCCAATTTGTACTATTCTTCAAGTTAAGTGATGAGTTCCTTAGGGAATTACAAGAGTGACTCTTTCATATTTCATAGATGAAAAGGAAAGAATACAAATATTTTCAAGGCAAATTTACATAAAAATGCTTTACAATGCTCTGGACTAACCTTAAAGGGAGATCCGAAAGGGTCCTATATGGCAGGAAATGAAGGGCATATTATTAATTACTCTCCCATAAAGATGAAGAGAGTAGAGGTGAAGGAAACAACAAATTGAAACATTTTCATGCATTCCTATCTTCGTTTGCCTGTCCTCATTCTAATTTGAATGAAATTTTCCTTTCAGAAGGTGCCCAGGGCAGTTAGAGACCCAAACTGACATGAGGGAGTCTGTAACAGAGGCAAGGATTAAACTCTCCAGGCCTCCATCTCTCTAGGCCTTGACTGTTGTCACAAGTCTCTCACGAATAGCGCATGATATTGCGAATAATGGATAAGCACTGACTGTTCTTAAAGCACTTGCACTCAGGTTTACTGGAGCTTTTTGTTTATCAACCATTGCCAAGTCAGGACTCCTCTGGAACAGCCAAACTCACTCTTTCCTCTTAGTCGCTTTCCAGTTGGGAGAAGACTCTTCTCCTCACTCTCCAGTAAGGAGAGGAGACAGTCTCATCTTAGACACAGAGCGGTCTGTCTCTTGGCAGGGTGTTCATCTGAGACTTGCTTAGGAGAAGTTTAGATCTTCGGATTTCAAAAACCACCCCTCTGATATCCTTTCACATCTTACAATAGGGCCTACATTTTTATACATTAGAAAGTTTTAAAAAGAGGTTTCTGTATAACCTGTAGAGTATTTCAGCCCATCTAGAAAGGCTGTGGTTTCAAAATAACGTCCAAAGGAATTGTAATTCTACCTTTGTCTTCTTATATGGATTAAACATTCCCGTTTCCTCTTGGATCAACTTAAATATACTGGGTTTTTGTTCCTGCTGTTTTGTGGTTAGCTTCAAACCACTATTGTAAAATTGGGAAAAGAAGCTTTGGTCTAGAACTCTTGTTGTACTCTTACATTTTTCTAAAACGCTGGTCTGCACAACTCAACCTTGCTGTTAGATGTCATATGAACTTTGAGTGCATGTTTGTGAATTCATTAAATGTTAAGCTTAATGGAGTCAGCTGCTTTAGTTGACTGGTTTAGGAAACGAAAGTTTCAGTTCATTCCCACTATGTCCTCATGACAGCAGCGTGCCTACTTGTTCCTACAGACAGACACGTTTAAATTCTACATCAAAGTAATACCGATCACACAATTTTCAATTTCTAAGCGCAAGATGTAGAATTTCTTAATTACTTGTGACATATGTAGCATTTGCTCAGTCTAGACAAAAATATGGCCTAAACAATCCACTTGAGAACCATGATAAACTGTATCACTGTGTGAGTTTTGCATGCTAAGAAAGTTCTAAGTCAGAAGACAAGGACCATATCTTTGTAAGGGCATAACTATTTGATTACATAATAAAATGAAGAGGGAAAACATACAAGATGCTAGTTCTGTAAAGAAGTAAAACATGTAAAAATCATGCAGAGAGGTAGTTTGTACAGCTTCTCCTTTTTGGCATCATCTTGGTAGCTATAATTAGGAAAAATATTAAGAGGTTAGGGAGACGCTGCTTTTCCACTATCTTGGGAGTGGTAGAAAAATATTTCAGGGAAAGCTGTAGTCCAGAACACAAAATCGGTCATGTGCCTATTACAGAGTTAACATATTAATGTATTACGGCTGTTGTATATTAAATTTGATTGTCAAATGACACTTGGGAGGTACCTATTTTAACAAACGTATTTTTTGCTTTCCAATATAGCACAGATTGGAAGTCTCAAAGTTGCATAAATCAGGCAATTTAGAATAAGAAAACCCCCTAGCTGCTTTGCAGATGTTAAACATTTTAGCACTGAAGTTATTTTTCTTGTATATGTGATAAGTGATGTATTTTTCAGGTTGCCAAAACTCGGATTTTCTCCACTGATTTATGACAAACTACACTGAAATATTTTATATGGGTTTATTTCAGTATTCCAGCTCAGTCCTCAATGGATTTTATGTATTTCTCATAGGCATCTTCACTCATCAGTTCATCCAGTTCAGTGGGGTTTTCCACAGTCATCTTGATAAGCCAACCTGTAGTTAAGAAATTAAAAAGAAACACAGTTGCCAATATCCTACAAGAAAGAGACACTCATGTTACCTCCTTAGAAAAGGCCTCCCTGGTAGACATACAAGTTCTGTAATGCTGTGGTAGAATCAGCAGGACTTCAGTCTTGCTTGTGCCAGCAAAACAATGGTTAGATACTTGAAAAAAAAGTCTGTTATAAGAAAAGACCTGATTCAAACCAGTTAACTAAAGCAGTACTGTCTCTGACAGTGGCATTAAAGAAATGTTATTTACGGAGAGTAAAAAAGCCTGACCTCCTAGTATCTTGAGCTGTTACAGGATCAAAAAAATGGAAATGCAATGAAGGGAAATAAATTTAAATTCAACTCCAATCTATGTCTGCAAAGAAAACATTGCAAAGGAGCTGGCAGCAAAGACAAGACTACAATAATGCTTTCATGCTGTAAATCGTATTGGACTTGAGCTATATCCAGTACATTCCATTTTAAGCCTCCACACCATTAAACTTGAAGAATTAAAAATCACAGAACTATCTGTGATAGCAAGCAACACTATCGGGATCCAGGTGGTATTCCTTATTGAAAGATAAAAATGACATCTTACCATCTTGATAACAAGATTTATTGACAAGCCCTGGATTTTCTGCTAGGGCAGCGTTAGTTTCAGTCACTTCTCCTGTGAGAGGAGAATAGAGTTCGCTAGCAGCTTTCACGCTTTCCAGGGCTCCAAACTCATCTGAAACACAGAATATGATTTAGTTTTGTAGACAGATATTCTGATGGTGACCTGGCCAGTGAAAGAAGTGCCTTAATACTGAACAAGGAGACTTTCAAAGATGTTGAAGTCATCAATATTATGACAGTGATCAGAGATACTAAATTTGAAGTTTATGCTCCTCAGTTATTCTAGAGAACCTGTGTAACAGTGGTTATTATAATAGTAGCTGGCTACTATAGAAGGGATGGATGTGTCTTATATTTGGCTAGTCCTTTATTTAAAGCCCTACAGCATGGTACGAGGTAGGGTTAGGAGGAGACGTATCCAGCTCTTGCTGCAACAGGTCTAAACATGCCTTCTATTTACCACTTAAACTTTTCTCTATATAATTTGGCTACAGAACAGACATAGCCATAGTTCCAGGAGTCTCAGTTTTCCTTTGGAAACACTACCAAACGTTACTTTTGCACTCATTATATTCTGGAGCACCACACTGGAACCATCCAGCTGTCCTTCCCTTTATGGTGTTTTAGATGTGGTTATGGAAATAGCGCCTGAAGCAATACTAGTCAGAGTAACCACAGAGAAACAAGACAGGCTGGAGGCACATGGAGCTGTCAGAAGACAGCTAGGCACGAGCACATGGAATCAGAGAACAACATCTTCTCAGAAGGCCTAGAATTCGATTAAGGCCAAAACTGGTAGGAAAGCAAGAACTAAATGGAAATGAAATTCCTTCTGATAAAATAAAGCTACAAGTTGATTAATTAAAGCCCTAAACAGAAGGAGCTTTTGTGTAACATTCACTATTCAAGCCAACGTAATAGGTTTGGTTGAAACAGTTCTATAGGGACCTATTACACAAGAAGGATGTCAAAAGAAAGGCCTGCTATTTTACCTCAGCAAATTTATATTCTTGTTCTGCAACATCTCAAGCTAATGACAAGCACTTCGTATAAACACAGAAATAGGCTTTTCCTTCCTACCTACTAATGCTCGCTCTTCTTTAACATGTAAGATTACATAATTGAATGATTAAGAACATAACAATTTCTAAATTGCTAATGGCTAGAACAACCTATGATTACAGCTGATACCAGAAATTACTGAGTTTGTATGTTCACGGAAAAATGAGAGCTTGATATCAATTACATCTTACTGTTCTTACATTGCGACTCATGAAATGCATAGTTGCAGAATCACAGCTAAGTCAGCCTAAACACTAACGAGAAGTTCAAATCAAAGCATAAAATGAGTGTATTTTAAAAGCAGAGTATAAACAGAATTATTACAAAAATGTAACTCAAGTATTTGGTTTGTAAATAAACATCTTCACCGTTTAAAAGGTAGATTGTCTCTGCTATTACACATGGTCTAAGATTTGTTTAGTTTTATCTGACCTATCTGAAAATAAACTTCCTTTCTTTCTTAGAAATACCTGAATTAATTTTGCATCTAGAAGATGTATAATATTACTAATGCACATAAAGATTAATTCATAAAATTGAACTTTGCAAAGGCTGAGTGGTATAACTATTTCACTAGAAACTGTAGCTGAAACTTACCATGTTTATTCAACTTGGTCCCAACTTCTGGAAGACTACAATAAACAACGTCTCCTAATGCTTCCTTAAAAGCAAAACATATGAATCAAAGCATACATTAAAGAAACTGTACATAGGAGATATTTGATACAGTAACTCCAGAGCCAATAGTATATTCAAGTTCTCTCCCCCTCTCTTGCCTCCTGTCTCCCAAATTAGTTCTCATTCTTTTTAAGGATTACATATTCACAGTGGGAATCTCTCTGGGTTTTTTTTGTTAAAAAACACACACACACACACACACACACACACACACAATGTAATAGAAATCATGCCCCAAATGCCAAATTATCATCTATTACAGTATTAGTACTCCTACGGCAGAGTGATAAAGATTATACACAGATTTCTTCAAGGCAGGATGAGAAAACATCTACTGGTCTTCCTAAAGAACCCCCAACCACCACTATCTTAGATTGAGAAATATACGCCACATTGCATTTCTATTCACAATTGTTCTTTAGTCACAGAAGTTGCACCATATTCAAGTTCAAGTGGAATTTGGCCTGAAAAGTACATGGCACTGTATTCCGAAAGCCTATAAAAACTGAAGTGATAAAAGAGGATTTAAATTCACCTGAACCATTAAGTTTTTCATCAAGTTCAGCTCTCCATAGGCTTGATCTGAAGTGATTAAGAATTTATCAGAGAATGCTGAAGCAGCATTAACTTTAGAAACAATGTGATAGCTCTAAGTCCAAAATCTCAGTGTATGGCATATGCAATTAGAATAATAATAATTAAAAAAAAAAAAACAGTAGCTATCCAAAGAGCAAGGATAAGAGCAGGTATGTATAAGTAAATATTGCAAGCTTGGGTGTGGGGTGGGGGGAGAGAGAGAAAAAAAAAAGAATACCTGTGCAAAATTGCTGATTCCTACTGTCCCGATACCATTTTCAACTGATATCCACTCATGCTTGTCTGTGAATTTGCGGGCTAAAATAAACAAACTTAGTATTTCAGAAGTAAGCGACATGTTGCTTGCTTAGATAAAACAATACATTTGCAGATTTAAACTCTGCCTTTTTTTTTTTTTTTTTTTTAAACACTGAGGTTAGTTTTTTTGGTCTGTTTTTCCTGGAAAATATTTCAGACAATAATGCAAATTACAGAAGCACTTTGTTCCATTCATGACATCTTCAGTGGCACAGTAGAAGCTTACTAGGAGTACTGCTGATAGCATTACTAGTTCTTCTGTAATCACAGAGAGTGATACGGTATAGGAGCAAAAGGAGTAGTTTAGTTCACCGAAGTACAAATGAAAAGTGCATATGTGTACTTCACTGAGTTACACATCTTCATGATAGCTTAGTGACTTTTCCAACCTATTCAGTGATTATTTCTGCCAACCACTTTATTATTCCCAACAAGGACAGTGTTAATGACATGTTGGAATGCTCGTGGTTTTTCCAACATCTCATTCAAGGTACTACATTCAAGGCATACTTAAATAGAGCCATCAGTTGCAGTGAAGAGTTTGTAACCTAGCTATTTGGTTGCCCTCCCTCCTGCTGACATTTTCTATAAGGTCTATTTCTCACCTGTTTAATGTTGCCACTTATCTATGTAAAATTAAGCCCAATTAATATTAGGCAAATCAATAAGGCCACTCATACATGTAAGTGTTACCTAAGAGAATTTGCTCTCTGTTAATACTGTTACTATAAAACTATTCAGAATAACTAATATGGTGTTCTTAGTGTTTAAGACTCTGTTAAGTCTTTTCATGGCAGTCTCACAATTCTGCATATAATTTAGGTCTGTAAGATTCATGATAGCTTTTATTATTGAAAACACCTCTTTCTATAAAGCCATAAGAAAGAACTTCAAGAGAAATAATTGAAGCAGATGACATTTGTCTTCCCAGCATTTGACCTAGAACTTTTGTTGCTCTTAAGATTTTTCAGCCTGCTTTGTTCTTTTTCTCACTTGCAGGGTTTCCACTAAGATTTCTTCTTTCCATTTTTTCCTTTTAATCTTCACTTTTAGCACTTGTCCAATCAGACAGGGGATGTTCCAGAACTTGGAGAGCTGCATCAGTGCAGCTGGGCCTTCCTTTTGGCTCCAAAATTCTCCTCTTAGGCTTCCCCTCTAGGATGGGCTTTAAGCCCTCCTAGAGAAACTAAACTTGACAAAGCCTTGCTTATTTTGTAACTTGTACATGAAGGAAAGCAGTTCTTGCTATAGACCCACTAAAATCTTTCTACTTTAAGTCAGTAATGTTTTGAGCTGCTTTAATTGTAATAACCCGCTCATTAACTTCAGAGCATGTGTAAGAGAAGCAAGTCTTCTAAAATGGTTTTAAGGTGGCCTAAGTTTTCTAGAACTACATAGCATAATAGACATTTTTGCAAGTATAGACAATTGTGTATATCGTTGTCAGAGTATATTTAATATTTGCATTTTACTCAAGATATTTTGTATGTTCATTTTCCACGCAGTATCAATCAGAAAAAGCAGAGAATTTCAGCTAGCATTATTTAAACCTACATTTCTCAGGACAGTTCTGTTTCTAATGAACAGAAAAAAAAACAAGTATCTTGGTAAATCATTTTAGGTCAAGACATTAAATCCATGGATAATAGGAATGTCACTGGAAATGACACAGAATCTCAAACCTAAACTGAACACTAATGTTATATATGCCACAAAGAAACCAGCTGGTACCTTTTTATGCAGAATAATGATATTGTATAAGATGTGTTTACAAAGCAAGATTTAAAAAAAAAAAAAGAGAGAAGGACAGAAGATTTCAGGTTTAATTTAGAACAATGCAGTAAAGTATTCTCAATTGCTAGAAGAGCACATAAGCTTTTTGTAGCACATCAAAAAGTGAAAAATGAAAGATTCAACCATGTAACAAAAATTGTAAATAAATCCAAGGCCAACTGAGAGAGTTAATAAGTAATCTCAAAATTTGAACTTTGAACTCATGCAATCATTACATTAAATAAGTCAGATTAAATGAATGAGATGTCAAAGCATACCAAATCTCTTCTGTAAGTATTCTTTTTCAGAAGAGCAGTTGAATTTACTCTAGCTTCATTAAACTGCAAACAAAGTCATGTTGAAGTTAACTACTGCATTATAAATTCAGATCTTAATTTAATGTAACCTGCCTCTATTAAATATTTCATAAAGATATACCTGAAAAGTAAAGGAAAACTCACACCTCCACAAACAGGCATACAAAATGTTTCCTCTATGCCTAAAATAAAGGTATGATTTATGTTATTACCTTCCAGTAATAGATACAGAAACATGATAGGCATATTAAAAATTATAATAATGAAAAAGTTTAGCTCTTGATTCATCTGATTTGCAAATAATGACCAATAAAAATGTTATTTCTTTCATTTGCAAAAGCAGCAGGAGGCTAGGTTAAAAGGCTATCTAGAAGAAAATCAGTGACTTATTCTTAATAGTAGATATTGTTTTTATAGTATATTCTCCTTCTCTCCTCCAGCCCTACTTTCTCCTTTGCACTTCTGTTGTCTAGAGTACTACAGATTCTGTTTTCAGACTCCTGTGGCTAACCTGCATTCAAATCAAGGAGTTTTGACAGCAGTAGATATTGTCAGAATTAACTGCATAAATGCAAAAATGCCCCAACGCAAAAGTCTATCTTCTCCGCCTTAATACTAGCGTAGCTATACTGCATAGGCATTGGTTAGACCGACCCAAGCTGCTTTAATGTGAACAGGCCCAAGGCCCTGAAAATCTGTCTCAGATTTCCTGCCAGACTAAACCAATCTAACTGCTGGGCTGCTGCAGGCCTCTCCTTGCCATCCACACATTTTTGCCCCTCCTTGTACTGTTGATGATGCTCCTCGGATCCATCAAGAGGCTGTTTCAGCATGCTAATTCAAGAAAAAGCTATCCACTTTTGCATCGAGTTCATTTTCTCCTTACTCAGCCTGCTCAGTGAAGGTTCTGGCTGGGGCCAGGAGGGGGACAGGGCCACACAATGGAAGGAAGACAGCAGTCAGATCAGCTCTGACGGCTAAAACTGCAGCATGGAGTTGAGGTCAGTTTTCTGGCAATTCAGGGGAGTGAACCAGCTTCTCATGGGATGGGGAATCACAGGAACATCAGCACCAGAACAAGGAATAGGTGAAACTGCACTGCCAAAAGCTGGGAGATAGAAAATGCCCCTTTCAGCTGTGGGGCTCCACTACACGGGCTCAGCCATCTTGCGAGGCTGCACTCCAGTTCTCACACAGACAACCCCTGTGTGTGTCCCGCTAGTCTGGATGAGCCAGCTGAGTCCCTACAGCCTAAGCGGTGAATCTTCCTCACGTGGCTGCTCTGGCTATGTTCTGCTGTAATCCTGACTGCTTAGTTCGAGAGCGGAATAGCTCACTGGAGCTGCAGCACCCAAATCCAATCTGTTATGTGGCTCCTGTCTGCACAGGACAGCTAAACTACAGGTATCAGTATAAGGTACTTTTGTATACAAAGCTCTGCCAATTCTACTAGGGCCAGCAGGCAGATATTTAAACTTTCATATCACACTGTACACGGGACAGCAAAGTCACTTAAGAACTCATCTACCGTTACAAATCTCTGACGCGCGTTAGCAAACTACAGGTTAGCAAACTTGCAGTGACCTGGGCAGTAGCCGTGTTCCAAAGAACTCCAGTTCATCCCCACAGTAAAGAATAGACTGACACTGTTTTTCTTGCTGCCTTATATATTATGTTGATCTGCGTCAGTAGGTATTAATTTAGTAAGTTTCTGCTTTTGTGCAAAAATGGATTGGTATGAACCAAGAGAAAACCAGCTTGGAGTGATTTTATTAGAACTGATTTGCTCTCAGTCAGACCTTATTGTAGTGCTCAGATGCAGTATTATATTAAAACAAGAAAAGAGAGCCATAGCAAGTATTTCATTCCTTTTTAATAAAGCATTTCTGCTTAATCTCCATGGAAGGCATAAAATCAAAACTATCATGGTTCTTCTCTGAAAATCCTCGAACCAAGCAAACTCCAGAACTTATTTATAGAAGCGCAACTGGAGGAGAAGTTATGCAGGAGGAAAATGTTCAGTGCGGTATGAACGTGCTGCCTAGGTATGCCATTCCCACACCCTCCTGCACGCATGGCTTACCTATGTATGTAGTTAAGTGCTTTGCTCACTGAAAGTCAAATGAATTCTGCGAATGGCGGCCCGGCGGCCGCTGCCTGCTCGCGCTGCCCTTGAGGGTCCGACCGACCGCGCAGGGGGAGAGCGGGGTTCTGTCAGACTGGCGACCCAACGCGGGCCTGAGTTACGTTTTAAGCCTTTCCAGGCGTTTTAGGCGTAGATCGGTAACTGGAGCGCCATCTTTCGAAGGCGCCTCATCGACAAAGCAATTGGTCTTGGACAAACCGTGCAACAAACGCTTGGTGTTTATTAAATACAGATGCTAAGTCTACGGGAAGCATGCACTTCGGGACATTTTATTTTAGATCTGGTATTACTTGTTGGCTAGCACACCGTAATAACAGCAGGCAGCAGCGGTGTGTTGGTTGCGTGGCACAGCTCTTGAAAGGACAGCGTTTTAGTCAGAAGCCGCTGTAGTCACTGAAGCTGATAGTTAAAAAGTAAGCTCTTTCATCCGTGAGCAAAGCACTTTTTCATTGTGGTTACCAATTCGTTGTTGACAGGTTATTCCAGTTGATCATTAGCGATTGGCTTCTCTTCCTTCTTGCATTTAATCCCGAAGAAACTGAAAAGTTTCATTAGCATTAGATCAACAATCTCCTCTTCTTCTGAAGCCTAAAAGGAATTACAGCAGAAATGAGTTACTAGGACACACGGACCAGAAACGTCCACAGGCTCTGCTGAAACCAGAGAAAGTTACAAGAAGAAAACCGTACTTGACATGAAGTGAGCCAAATGTCACTCTAGGCAGAGCATGAGTATCTGCCAAAGCAGAACGTCATGCAAATATTTTTATCAAGACAAAAGTCCTGGGCAGCCTGCAGATGAATATGTACATGATAGAAGAAATTTTGGCCCTGTCAAAAGCCTGTGGAAATCTTGCCACTGGAGCCTGGAGTTCACTAGCTAACTGCCGTACGACCAGTGGTGTATACAACTAGCAGCCTATCATTTCCAAATGCCATAAATAAGACAGACTAAGCATATCTTATTTTCTGTTGGTCATTTCCTTTGCTTTCTTCTCCCTTGACTTCATTTACAAAGTGAAACGTTCATTAAGGACTTTTGGACAGTACCGTAGTACTAAGCTGGATTTCACACCATGCTATCAATAACTTGAATGAGTCAGACACTTGTAGTGACATTTTAAAAAGGAGCTGTGTAGTCCTCATGAGGACAGTAGTAGTTTTGGCACTGCTTTTGATGAAACTAGGACACGAGTCCATGCTTTTTTGGTTTTGTTTTGTTTTGTTTTTTTGCTGGATTTAGTATGTGAACATAATATAGACTACAAATAAGATTTGGTACTAACTCTGAACAGAGACTTATCTGAATGGAAATGGGTAGTGCGGATCTGAAGTGTTCTTTATGCATAAATGTTGACTTCTTAAGAGCAAGACAGAGTTTACATGCATTTCATCAGATGGTGAAACGTCTGAGTCACGAGTAAGCACTGCACAAGAAGCGTTAAAGAACAGCAGAAGAGCTTAGATGAACACACCTGATAATGCTTCTGCTCCTCGCTGAAAGCAACCAGAATCACTGAAATGAACAAATTCAGCACCACAAATGTCATGAAAATGATGCAGGATCCAATTAAGAAGGAGCCTAAAATTGGATTGTAGTCCAAGACCTGTAGTATTAATAAGGTAAGGCATCATATTTTGGTTATAACAAAAGGGTATACATATAAGCAGTTTAACACTCAAAAAAGGAGTTTGTAAGTTTGAAAATCCTTGTAGCTAATAATTTATTTTATATATTATAGTTTATATATAGTTACACACTCATATTTTTCTCCTTTAGTCATTTTCATACTTTGATACAGTATAGTACAAAGGATAGAATATTTTTATGGTATACAAATATGGGCAATCTTTGTGGGTTTTTTTAAATGTTTGCATGTCAATATAATGGTGTGAAAGTTTCATATGAAAGTTGGCAAGCCTGGAGATCTGTTCCTGGAGATCTGTTCCACAGAACGAACAACTAAGCTCCATCATGCCTCAGCTATCAAAGTATAAATGAAATCTCTATGTGCTTGTGCTTAATAGTATCTTTACAAAGAAACTCAGTCGTACTGTCATGGACACATACCAACTAAGGATTGTACAGAAATTCAAAAACCTCATTTTCATGTAAGCTGTAACATAGGAATATATGTTCACGATTAGCAACATGAGTGGGATGTAGAAGTGAAAAACATACCCATACCCTGTTGGATCCACGGTATAAAAAAAAAATCCACCAGGGAGGACTTCACAGTCAGAGATGTCTGAAAACTAGTTGAATCCACAAAGATTTATCTGAAGGCTATTGTAACATTTGAAAGAACTTAATGAAAAGCTCAAGAATAATAAAAATAAATGGAACAAAGTGCCTTTGTTGTGGAAGGCCTTGTCTTTCTGTGGAAGCTGATGGGTCAGTGTTCAGAACAAATGCAGGGTGTCAGTCACTTTTCTGCCTATAGCTTTCTAAGGGAATTGCTTCAAACCTTTCCAGCAGTCTGTAAGCAACATACCTAGTTAAAATGCGAGCACCTCTCTCCATGAAAGGTTTATTATGAGTGTACTGATGTTCAGAATGGGACTTGAGGTATATTTCATCTAATGCCCTTTTCTTCTCTTGAGAAAGGGTGTCTGCTTTAGGAGACTCTAGAGCTTGCAAAATTAGATTCATATCTATCACTAATTGAAAGTCTTTCCATTTGCTAGTTCAAAGCATATTTGATGACTGGATATCTGAGATGCTAATGATAGAAATAATAAACTTCTCAAAGTTAGAGATGGTACCTCCTCATAGTTGAAGATTCCTAGCTGAAGACTGACCATCGTCTCTGCTGAATCAAAAAGAGTTTTGTAAGAGTAGAGCTTCCAGCCAAATATCAGGTTTGTCTGCAGAGGAAAGAAGACATACCTTGCACCATAGTACTTGCTGCAAACGTAACTAGTGACTATTATCAACTAAGGAGAGCTTTCTCTGAAAAGCTTTCTCACTGCAGTCACATGAAGTTTTTTGGGTTTTTTTGGATATACAGTTAGGGAAAACACCTGACAAGGTCATAGAAGAAGACTAGACTAGAGGTAAGAACTGGATTTGCACTTCCTGAAGCGAGTCCAGCGAAGGGCTACTAAGATGATTAAGGGACTGGAGCACCTCTCCTATGAGGAAAGGCTGAGAGAGCTGGGCCTGCTCAGCCTGGAGAGGAGAAGACTGAGGGGGGATCTGATCCATGTGTACAAGTATCTGCAGGGAGGGTGTTGAGAGGACGGGGCCAGACTCTTCTCCGTGGCTCCTAGCGATAGGACGAGAGGCAACGGGCACAAACTGAAACACAGGAAGTCCCATTTGAACATGACGAAAAACTGAGGGTGACTGAGCACTGGCACAGGTTGCCCAGAGAGGTTGTGGAGTGTCGTTCCCTGGAGATATTCAGAAGCCATCTGGACGCAATCCTGGGCAATGTGCTCTAGGTGACCCTGCTTGAGCAGAGGGGTTGGACTAGATGATCTCCAGAGGTCCCTTCCAACCTCAACCGTTCTGTGATTCTGCGATTCCTGAATGTGCTTTAACTGTAAGACCTTTTTCTTTTATCTCTTGGTGTGTGAATGTCTTATGCCTGCTCAGCTTGCCACTAGGTATGTAAAAGAACTGCAAAGGCATGACAAAATCATGAAAGTAATTTAGCCCACCTCCCAAGTACCAGTTTTATCTCTGCACAATTGGCTAAATTCATCACAGTTACAAACACTTGCTGTGAGTGCACAGTCCACTCACCCTTTCAGATACGTAGCTTGCTTGTTTGCACTCAGCAACCAAGGTGTTATTTTCTTCATTTATATCTTGTGGGCCTACATGTGTCGGAAGGACACAGCTTCACAATAGCCTACGCTAATTTAAATGGGGGCTGCTGCAGTCTCACCTTTTCTTCCCTACATACATATTCCTGCCTCCCTCTTTCACTACGCCAGCACCTGCATGACATGACAGCAGGCTGGGTGATGGGAACTGATCCAGACAAAATCTTATCACTTATTTTACTTGCTAAGTTTGCGGCCATATTGGTGCACAAAGCTGTTCAATTGCTAGAGCGTCAGTGATGGGGAAGGGGGAGATTAGGAGCATGAGGTCAGGCAGAAAGAGACTGCAGCAGGTCCTGTTTGTCACAGAAGTGCCCTTCACATTACAGGTTTGATCTGGTTTAAAGGGTTTCCACTAAAGCATTTCGGTGGTTTAGCGAGTGAGATGTGCTGAATTTCCCACATCCCTCTGCCAGAACATTTACACGAAACTTTCAGATAAAACAGTGAATATATATAAAGAGTTGCAGTCAAATAATCCCTTAGTCTCATCAAAAGGAAAAAGAACGGTTTATTTTCATAATAGTTTATCTACATAATTCCTATAGTAGGTAGAAAAATAATTATTTCCCACTTAAAAACAGCCAAACAGAAAATGGCACTTCATATGCTCTCCCCGATTTGAGCTTTATCCAGAAAATGAGCTTCACTATACTTTGCTCTTTATCACAACTATTACACATTCTAAATTTCAATTTGCAAAGAACAGGCAAGTGGATATTTTAGCTTATCTTTCACTTATACCGAAGAGTCAGACTCCAGGCAGTATATTGCAGCCATCAAGCTGCTAACCTAAGATTCAGATAGACAGCTTTATTCAGTTTTACTTTTCAAACCTACATTGCTTTCACCATTCAGGAACAAGTCATTTAATCTGCAAGTACCTGGATACAGACTGCAAGCAATAGAAACCACAGTGGTACTCACGGCAATGGAATAGGCTAGGAACATGATTGCAATAACAGTGATGAAGCCAGAGATATCACCCCAGGCCCTCCTTAGGGTTGAAGTGATCATGTTTAGTTTGGGGTTGAGCCTCAGTAGATGCCACAGTTTCACTGTGGAGAGAAGTACTAGGAAAGCAATCAGGTACCCAAGAACTGCATCAGCTGTTGCTGTTTCATTAAAGCTTACACAGCTGTTAGGAAAAAAAAAAAAGAGATCTATTAAACAATGCACATAGAAGCCTTTGAACTGCATGAATGAGTATACTGGAAAAGCCTGTCACTCTGGACTTGTTTTCAGCGCAGGGCTAACTTGAGTTCTTGCTTGAGTGTTCCTTTCCATACTTGCTGCTGTGCGCAGACAAAAGGTCAGTAGTAAATGGCAGAGTTTTATATCAGCATTAACCAGAGCTGAGAGAGTGTTGAGGATATAACCAAAATGCTGCTGATTTTCAGTTAGTCACAGGTTAAAAACAGCTATTTTTTTTACAACAGAGGTGACCAGAAAAAGCTTTAAAGAACTGCAATGCTAGTGTAGGCTATCACATATACGTATATGGTATATGCATGCTACCATGAGCAAGAACATAGCCATCAGGTGAAAGGAAGTGATTATTCTCTCCTCTCATTGAGCACTTGTGAGGCTGCCCCTGGAATACTGAGTCCTGTTTTGGGTCCCCCAGTGAAAGAGAACTGACAAAATGGAGTGAGTTCAGTGTGGGGCCAGTGAGAGGGTGAGGGGCTTGGAGTACAGCACATATGAGAAGGGCATGAAGGAGCTAAGTTTGTTCAGCCTGGAGAAAGGAAAGCTAAGGAGGCATTTAACTGTTGTCTTCAACTACCTAGTGGGTGGTTATAGAGAGGATGGAATTATACACTTCTTGCAGCTGTACAGCAAAAGGACAAGGGGCAATAGTCACAAATTGCAGCAAGAGAAATTCCAACTGGATATGAAAAAAACATTTTTTCACAATGAGAGTAGTCCAGGAAGGCTGTGGAATCTCTATTCTTCGAGGTACTGGAAACTCAACCAAATGAGGCCCCAAGCAACATGATCTAAAAGCAGGGGATTGTAGCAGAGACCTGGTGAGGTCCCTTCCTACCTAAATTAGTCTGCGAGTCTTTGATCTCTTTCCTGTTTGACGATATTTTTTAAACAGTCATTATTGTTTTCCATTCTGTATAAAACAAGCCATTATTGTCCTCTACAGAACAGTTACATACAACGAAGGGTGAGGCAGATTATGTGCTATTAGGCTGCATGTCCTGTAGCAGAAAGGCTTGCTGATTCAGAAAAGGGTGATGCAGCTAGGGTACTAGCAGCTAGGCTAGGAGACTTGGTGCTCAAGTCTGCTGGATTTTGTTAGAGCAATATCAGAAGAAAATTGTGTTGCTGAATCACATCCAAGACCTGAAGTGGTTACACGCTTCATAAATATAGACGTATGGGCTGGCATTATCTAGCACAGACAAGCTGCTGTCTGGGAAAAGAGGTCTGTTTCTGCATTGGTAGCACTGGCAAAGACCAGACTAGCTGTCTGGGAAAAGAGATCTGTTTCTGCATTAGCAACACTGACAAAAAACGGACTAGCTAGCATTCATACTTACTCCTCTTTGTGTTCCTGGTAGTAGCTGATGTCTCGGGTCCCTAGGACTGTGCGCTTCACAAACACTGACAGGGCGCTCCAGCTAATCAGTATAATGGCCAGCTCCAGGAGATTCCACTTGCTGTGGAAATATCTCCATTTCTGAGTCTTCATAAGTCTTCCCTGTGAAAACAGTTTTCCTGTTCCAGTCTGCAACTCCATATCATATAATACACCTCTAAAGGTTAGGGCTGTCCCTTCTGCAGTAAAACAGACTACTGCCTATCCATATAA